AGTAAGACACATGAGGACATACCATAATGTGTTTTACCACCCCGCCTTTCCACTGGATAGCAGTAAGCAGCAGCAGCATTCACTGTATTTTTAATCACATCTGATGAAGACACTCACAAAAGAAGGCTTGCAGAAATTTTAAAACATTCCCTGTATGTATTTTCATCACCCTTTATATTCCAACAAAGCAGTATTCTCTGTTGAAGCCATAAAAGAATAATCAGTATACATATATAATTGTTCCATCCATAAGTTTCATTTTTCACCTTGTAGGACAAAGTGCTTCCTGGTGAGTGATATAATTGATACACAAATTTTATAACCAGAAAAACATCCCTGGGGAAAAGAAGGAATTGGGATATATTATGTACATGTACCAACTCCACACAAGGAATGTAAACACTATCTACTACACATATGTACTAATAAAGTAAAAGAAAATTGGATGAAAACAATAAAAATCAACTAAATAGTGTTTTTGAAAGATAAATGTAAAATAGAGAATATAAAAACATTGGAAATAGATAAAAAAACACTACTGCGTCAGACTTAAGTTTCAAATAAAGTCTTATGGTAACACTAATTGCAGAACTGTCCTCTGTAGTCACGCTTACATTCTTTTGGACCATCCACTTTAAATTTAAGACACAGGCACTACATTCAAAAGTTCTATTATATCAAAATTCTCATTGATACCACAAGTAAATATCTCACTGGGCCATAGTATTTATGGGTGTGCAATAGAAAGCAGCACAAATTATCCTCTTCCAGTAATTTGCCTAATGAATTCACAGCCATATCTTCAAAGTGCTAAACAATAGCATTTCTGATAAATTTGCATTTTAAGCTTCAGAACACACTGTGTGTCTTACTCAACCATCTTTTGTAAACTTGTTTTAGTAAAAGAGGTAGTGCCTTTCTCTAATAGCTAGTAATGTTGAACATTTGCTCGTGTATTTATTAGCCATTTGTACTTCTGTGATGTGTCTGTTCATTTCATTTGTCCATTTTTGATTGAGTCTTTTATTTTGGGGGTTCTAATTTTTGAGTTTTTTATATATTCTAGATATTAGTTCTCTGTCTGAGGAATACCTGCTAAAAATGTTTCCCATTCTGTAGATTGTCTCTTCACTCTGTTGGTTGTCACTTTTGCTGTGCAGAAACTGTAATTTGATAAAGTCCCACTTGTTGATTATTGGTACTATTTCGCCTGCTGCTGGAATTCTATTCAAAAAGTCCTTGCCTATGAGTATAACTTCAAGAGTTTTACTTTTTTATGTTTTAGCAGATTGTTTCTGTCTTAACATTTAGATCCTTGATCTTTTTATTTTTGTTTAGTGCATGATGAGAGATACAGGTCTAGCTTTAATCTTCTCCATGTCAATAGCCAGTTTCTCCAGCACCACTTATAAAAGAGGCTTTCTTTCCTTCAGTGTGTGTTTTTCGCTTCTTTGTCAAAGGTCAGATAGCTGAATGTACCTGAGTTTTTTTTTTTCTGAAGCCAATATTCTATAAAATAAAAACAAATGATGGTGAAGCTAGGGTTGGAAAAACAAACCTTTCTACAATGTTGGTAGGAATGTAAACTATTACAACTACTATGGAAATCCATATTGAGATTCCTCAAGAAAACTAAAACTAGAAATTCTATTCAACCCAGCTATTCTCTTCCTAGGTATCTTCCCAAAAGAGTGAAAAACATCATAATACAGTGATACATATACACCCACATTTATAGCAGCACAATTTATAGTAGCTGAATCTTGCAAGCAGCCTATGTCCATCAACACATGAAGAAAGAAAATGTGGTATTTACATAGAGTACTATTCTGCCAGAAAGAAGAGTAATTTTGAGTCAGTTGTAGGAAAATTGAGACCATAATGTCACGTGAAATAAATCACATACAAGCTTGAATATCACATATCCATACAGTATAAATATAAAAGCATAACTAAAGAGAAGAATGAAGGACAATAATAAGAGAGAGGGAAAAAGATTGTTCTCAAATAGGAAAGGGATCAACAGATGGAAGGAGGGAGAGGAAAGGGATGAAAAATAATTAAGATGTGTTATACATTTGTAACAACTTCCCAGTAGGAATGTAATCATTATGAACTGAAAACATGTACTAATAAAAACTAAAAACAAAAAAGTAACTCAACTACAACACATCTAAAAAAGAGTTAATGCCTGCACAATCGTTTCCTTTAATATATAATTATATAACTGCATTTTGCAATACAATTCCTAGTTTTCTTCACTTTCCAAAATGAATACAGTCAAAAGTTCATTCATTTTCTTGAATTAAGTTTGTCATTACATACCTTTTCTCTATAATGGTCACAATTTTTATTATACTTTGTTTTATAATGAGCTTCTAAGTTAACTTTATTTGACATAAATATACTTTGTTTGCATATAGAACACACACAAATCTTTTCTACTTCTCTCACAAAGAATCCTGTTCTTTTCCATTTTCTTGAAATATCTCTATAAGACTAGCTTCCATTCTCCACTCTGCATAAAGATTTGAGTCCCAGAAATATCTCATTTTCTCTTATACCTGCTATAAGAAACAAACATATGACAACCTTACACTCAGGATATGGGATAACACAAGGGATTGTTGAGACTATGACAAACTGGAGAGCACGTGTCCCACGTCCAAAGGTGGCAACTGCCACGTAGTTCCACTGGTTGCTGTTTGTATTTCCAGACTTTTTGATTTTTTGAGAAACTAGAAAACCTAATGTTTATGGTAATCTTAATGTTTATTCACAGTAACTATGTTAGCCATGTGTTCGACATGTTTATCCCCCTCCCTTTGCAGGGTTTTGATTTTTATTTCAATTTTAAAAGCTTTATTTCACAAGAATAAGTGAAGCTTCAAATTTATTATGGAGACAGGTTATAAACATCCAAAACTTAAAAACTAAAAATTAAATCTCAGGAACTTTTTTGTGAGCAAGATGGAGAAAGTCAGCCTGTCTGGCTATATAAATAGGTGGATTTATGTCAGGTTCAATGATTGTACCCCAAAAACATTGATTAATCAGATAATGCTAACCTGAAGATTAGTCTATGCTGTCATGAGCATTCTGGCCTCAATTTTGCATGATTTATTAAATTAGATCAGGACTCAGTGAGTTACGGCCTGCCATTGAGTTTCTTATTTCTGCAAATAAAACTTTATTGAAGGACTAGACACAGTGGCACATGCCTATAGTCCCGGCACTCTAGAGGCTTAGCTGGGAGGATTGCTATACTGTACAGTTGCAAGTTCAGAATATTTAGAACATGAAATATATATGGCATTATTTAGATCACATGTGCAGTATTGTGTTCAGTGCCAATCGTCAAGTTTAACGAAGCAGTGGCCATATCACGAGCAATGCTAGAATGAATAGGGGAAGAGCTATCAAATTAAAGATTTAGATGTTACCATATGACAGACTGAGCAGCCTTAGAAATTACTGGAAAATATGTAGCAATTCTATGTAAGGAAGAATTTTATGTTCCAGCTTTATAAAAAATGTTGCGGGCTCCCCTTTTCCATAGATAGTCTAGAAGAGAGAGAATCATTTCTCATCAAAGAAGTCATGGAAACTTCATGTGCCAGGTAGGTGAATGGTCCACAACAAGTGTTGGCAAACTATAACCTATAAGTCAAATCTAACCAGCCACTTGTTCTTGAAAAAAAGTTTTATTGGAACACAACCATACTCATTCATTTATATATTGTGTCTGGCTCCTTTTACGCTACAACAGCAGAGCTGAGTAGTTGTAATAGACACTTTACAGCTTGCAAAGCCTAAAAGTTTACTACCTGGTCTTTATAGAGAATGTCTGCTGACCTCTGACCTACAATAGCTGTTCTCAGAAACGCCTGCAGAACTAATAAAGAATACAGAGACCTGGGCTTGTCGAAGTAAGATAGGACCTGAGTTCTATAGTTCTGTCTGATTCCCTATTGATTACTACTATCATCATCATTTTTATTTCCCAGCACTAGAGATTGAACCCAGGGTCCAGGAATGGTAGATAAAAATTCTATCATTGAGCTACACGCTGAGCTCTGCTTAATACTGCAATAAGTTTATTGAGATATAATTCACACATCATATAATTTATCCATTTAAAGTATATAGTTCAATGCTTTTGAATATATTTTCAGTTATGCAGCCATCATTCAAATGTACAACAATCTCACAACACCAAAAAGGAAACTCCATACTCCTTAGCAGTCGTTCTTTTCTCCCCAACTTCTACAGTCCCACTTTTTAATCTATAAATTTGCCTATGATGGACATACAATATAGATAAAATCTCACAATATGTGGGTATTTTGTGACTGGCTTCTTCCACTTAGCATGTTTTCAAAATTTACCCATGTTGTAACATATATCTCCACTTTTCTTTTTATTGACAGATACCATTCCATGGTGTGAGTATAGAGTATACAGTACAGTAATCCTGCCACCTAAGCCTCTAGAGCGCTGAGACTACAGGTATGTGTCACTGTGTCCACACTTTGCTTGTCCACTTATCAGGTGGTAGACACATAGATTGACTCCACATATTGACTGTTAAGAATGATGCAGCTATGAAGAAGTTTTTGTATGCAGACATGCTTAGAATTCTCTCGGGTGCATGCACAGGAATAGCATTGCTTAGCTCTTTACTTTGGATGTGGTTTCTCCCTCCAAGTTTCCTGTGTTGTAGAAACGGTCCCCAGAGTGGTAGTGTTGAGATGGTATGGAATCTTTAAAAGGTGGGGCCTAGTGGGAGGTCTCTGGGTCGCTGGGGGATGCTGTCTTCTTAAGAGAGTGCCAGTTTCCAAGAGGGACTTTTCATGACAGTGAATTGTTGTAAAAGCATAAGCCCGATCCCTCAGTCTTTCCCTGGCTTCCTATATTTGGATCTGATCACTTGCCCGCCTGCTCCACCATTTCCCTCCCCTGTGATGTGATACAGTCAAGAAGGAAAACCAGTTCTGTACCTTTCATGATCCATCAGCAGTTTAGCAATGTTCAGATAAAAGTCCAGAGACAGACCAAGGTGTAGTATTTGCATGACAGCTAACAAAGTAAAAAAAATATGAAATAATTACATCAGCTTTTAGGAAGTTTAGCTACTTTTCAATTGTTTCCCTCCATTAAAAATCTACTTATTAAATATTTGCCATATGTTTTGGCTCAGAAAATTATAGAAAAAATTTAAATACTAATATCCGATGCTAAAAAGTAGCAATACAGGCATTGTATATGGATGGCAAAATAACTTGGTGCAACCAGACGATACTGAAAAACAATTTTCAGTTGTGTATGGTAAGAACACTGTGGTTAAGAGCTTGGAATCCCAAGTCAGGCAGACCTAAGTTTGAAACCATTTGCCTTGGTACCTACATTGGTATAGGCAAGTTACTCAGCTTTTCTGCACCTTAATTTTGCTGCCTATAAGATCAAAAACATACCACCAATCTCTGAGTACTATTGATGGGATTACATGAGATAATTTCATCTACGGCAATTATATAGGAATGCACCTAGCACTTAGAAAACATTCACCAAATGATAGCTACTGTCATAATTATTCCTTTTACTTCAGAAATTACATTTCTGAAAAGATGTCTGAAATAAATATGGTAAAAAGTTATGAACAAAGAGGTTAAAAGCAGGGTACATTATGACAAAAGAAAAAAATATACTCTGAATATCCACTGTGGAGTAGCCTCAAACTATTATGCAACAATTAAAATTGATGAGGATAAAATAACATGGAAAAAATGAATATGCACGAATATAACAATGTTTCTAGGACTAGTAAATAAAAATTTAACAAGGTTATATGTATTATATGGTTACAATTCTGTAAAATATACATAACAAAAAATACTGAAAAGTCACATTGCTAAATGATTGTGTCTAGATTCAACGATTTCTTTTCAGCAAATATTTAATGTGTATGCTCGCTGTGTCAGGTACTGTCTTAGTGTTGGGAACCCGAAAGTGAAAAAAACACACAAAATTCCCTGATATTACTGAGAATGGTGAAGCATGCCTGTGATCCTGGGTACTCTGGAGGCTAAAGCAGGAGGATCATAAGTTCAAGGTCACCCTGGACAATTTAATAACTTTTTTTTTTTTTTTTTTTTTTT